GAATTCCATTTCCGTCCAACTAGTTTTTCTATCATCCTACTGGGCCATTCTTTTTTTGGGTTCAGCACTGACAGTGGCGCTGTCAGTGGTCAAATCCTCTACTTCTCTGACCTGTAGAGACCCCCTATACCCTGCCGTTTCCCATTTCGTCTTGTCAGACGACGACGGTGCGAGATGAGAAGGGATCGTTTACGCGGCTTTAACACTTATGTAAACGGCTTTTCATCTTTATTGTGACAGTGGCGATGTATTAGTAAAAGCCCTCCAGGTTGAGTGAGTTTACAACTACATTGCGATGGTAACGGTGTGTCTTTTTATTGTGTCTCTTTGCCTTTGACTACCTTGCCCCCCCCCCCCCCCCCCCCCCGTCCCCCCCCGGGCCTGCCCCCATAGATTTCAAAATTGGAGCGAAGAGCACTGAACCATAATTTTTGTAAATTCTTTTAACCGCATCTTTGTCTATAGTAAGTCCTTTCTAAAATCGTGTACGGTCAGGGTAACCCTGTTGCCTCTCTAACTTACGCCATATTAATGATGCATATCTGTGCAAACGATAAGATCGTGTAAAATGTCTGAATATATCTATAAATAAGTGTGATATGAAGAGAGAGCTGTACCTCAAACTGTGTAAAGTGTCTTATTCTGTGTTTCGCCGAGTCGAGATATTTTGCCTATTTATGTAACGCTGAACACACATTACAAAACTTCATAAATTTTATAAAACGACTTCGGTTTTCCTGGGTTGTGTAACTAATATTTTAACATTTCTTGCATTAGCGATTTCTCCACTAAATAGTTCATACTTGACGTCTCTACCAACTAACGTCCGCAACATCTGTTACATCATTTACAGTTGAAGTAGCCCAAGCATGTTTACATGTTGCAGAAAGCTCGATGTGAAAATGATGTACGGTACAATTGGGTTTATAAGCAGATGTCAACGAAAATTGAAGATGGCGGCAATTAGAACAATTGCAGTAGAAACTTAGTGAAATATAGCTTTGCTGGTATTTAGAGACCAAGGACAAAAGCAGCAAAAAAAAAAATATTGTTGCGGTGATGGTGATTGTTACGCTATACGAATGCCGAAGACACCACACGCCAAAACCGCTATATCCGAATTGCTATGTAACCTTTAATGGTGACGACAAGCTCGTTTCGAAAGAACGGAGCTGGCCATTGTCACACTACGATGGAACACCTATATAGCTGAATAATTAAGGTAGTAATTCTAAATAAAAGCTACAGCCCCCTTTACTTAAAAGTGGAACCGTAGCTTGTTAACTGCTGTAAGGTTGCTAACTGCGAACATTTTCCACAAAAAAAAAACGCTTTTCCTACGCCACCTTCCACGGCACGTTTTCTTGTTTTATGAGCGTCTAAACGAGGTTAATGTCTCTCACATGGCCGCATCATGCCTGTATTGACTCGCCTCATTCCAAGATCGTTGCCAGATGTAAGCCGCCCGGAACACAATTTATCTAGTAGGCACCATGGAATATCAGTTGGGCCATATATCAAAGAAGCGATTCAAAATGTGTACCATCTTCCCAAGAATTAATTTTTCCTCATTTTGTTTTGCGTTTCGATTGTGATACGACTTCGTATTGCTGAACTTCAATTTATATAGTTTATAAGGTCAACAATAGGTTCCTGTTTTTGATATTCATTTTGCTCTGTCCAGTACTCGAACCTCCTGTACTTTTTGGTTGGGTATTCTCACATTTGCATTACTCTGTGAAGCTGTGCGGGATGTCACCCTGTCATGGTTCATTGACTCCGATACGAAACTATGCCTACATACGTATGACCATGGACATTTCGTCATGATCGACTCCATAACGCACACATTCTGCCGTCAAGAACCGCGACGTAACGGGTCGCATGACCCCTTATAGCGGCTTACTGAGGGTGGCCTTCCGTGAACGCAGCCCTCTATCATACACAACAACAACAACAACAACGATAATAGTAACGAAGATAACTCTTGGGCGGACCATTCGTTTGCCCACGAGATCTCGAACGAGTTAGCCTGGATGAATACATTCAATGCAGCGCGTAGGCCGTTCGACATTCCCACCAGAACCGTTACAATGGCGCATATTGTAATAATCGCTGCCTGGTGCATTACTGCTACCTGATCGACCGTATCTAATCTCGAACGGCTATAACACGGTCACAAGCGAACCCCATTTTTGTTGTCAACTAACGGCGTGTACGCAATTTCCCTTGAAATCAGGCCAGCCAATCAGCAAATCTATGAATACACCTTCGCTTTTATTTCTATTTCGTCCCGAGCACAATCAACAAATGCTATTAATTAATGTATTTATATTTATTGACGTGACCTACTAGCAGAGCCTCGATCGCTTATGGGATTTTCCGACTAGGCCGATACGATAGCTAACGTTTCATAGCCTGCTAGGAGATATTATTTGATGATCATCTTTATTCTGGAGCCTTTCATTAGGGCGTGATATATTGATAACAATATAGCGTCGTACGTACTATTTGGAAACGGTCAAACATTTCGCATCAAACATAGTTTATTCTATCAACATCTGGCAACACAAACACGTATTACGGAAGCTAAATGTAACAATCTCAATCGAACCTCGAGCAAGTAGAGCCTAAAAAGGTCCAGCTGTTATAGATTAGCCAAACAAGGTCCGTAACAATTATCATACACTTCAGTCGAGCGCGCATTAGGAGATTGCTAGGCCCAAGTTGCCAGATATTGTCAACAGCTACCCAAAATATATTTCTTTCTAATGGTAGGCTAGCACTACCGTATAGGACTGGTGGAAATAACGTTACAGTAATCATCGGCTGTAGAGAAAATGCGGTGGTGCTACCAAGAAAATAAGTAATTGCAGGTACAAGGCTCTCGGAGACAGTCCTTTGGCTATGAAGTTAATAGCCTGCTCGTCGCTACTGCTATTGCTATCTGCGGGGGAGGACCAGGGATCTTTCTAACCTTCCCACTGCGATAGCCTACACTAGGACTACATCTTATGGTGTTTTGCTCGAATGATCATTTGTCGAAACAACAAGCTGTAATCTATGTCTAATCTATGTTGCAAAAGTTGCGCGAAAAAAATGCGCGATAAATCAAATCTCCGGAATGGGCCTCGCCGAGGGTCGACGGGATTTCCGTTGTCGTTTCACCCCCACAATAGCAAGTTCGTTGCCAGGCTGTTACTGATGATTTTGGAAATTTGTGTTGGAACCATCTCGGCAATGCGCTTTCCTGCAGAGCAGGAGCGACAGTTGGTTTTATTCCTAGCATTTTGTGGGTGACGCTTAAAAGTAAGCTATCAAAAAGATTCACGCATAATTGATAAACCGAAATCATCAAAGAAACCCAAGATTACAGTTCAGACAATTGAGGTACGTCGTACGAAAAGTTTCCGTTGTTCCCAACTCGCGCGCTCACGCAAGTCCTCCACATCGATGCAGCATAAACTGGCCATTGGCTCGATGCTTGACGTCCCTTCTACCAATTACGAGTTTCTTACCCTTAATATTGTTTATTAAATTACGATTTAATGTTACTATTACTGTTTGCAGCAGCTGGCCTTGACAACGGCTCTGAATATTATTAGGTAGTTATATAATAAACAGTAGGTGGAAGAGACGGCTTTATTGACTACTTGAGCTAAACTTGTTATTATCAACACTATCCAGGAAGTTCATGTAAGTCTGGGCAAGTTCTGAAGAAGAATCGGAACAGAAAATTGCATGTTTAAAATTGTTATTTCAGAGGTTTCTGAACAAACATTGGGTAGGAGTAGAAATAGACGTTATTAAGAAGACACTCACTCTGAGTGAGTGCGCATCAATAACGTTGCTCATTTTTCCTGTCCTTACACGCAGCGCGTGCCTTTGTTTTCCCCTCCCGCCAAGAAACACTTCAACTTACCCTTCTGATGAAAACATGACTCGCTATATACGTAAATACTCGAGCGTGCGTCGTTTATGGCATTGACGTGCATGAATTAGTATCAGGTGCTTACTATTAATAATCGACAAGCGTTACAAGTGGCTACACGGCCTTGCGGAGGCGGCGTTCGATATGACGGTATAATAATATAACAAAGTATCTACCAAAGAGAATATAATGGGAACCAGTTTTCTGTCCGAGCGTCTGAAAAGTAGATTACCAAGCTCCTGAAATCGCACACAAGGGCGAAAACATCCCTAAAACAGCAGAATGCCCCTTTGTTCGACGTTTTTTCACGACCAAGTCGTGTTACTGCCTTTCTATTGCTACAGAGTACAAGCGGGCTTTTTCCCTGCTGTTATTTTTGGCGAAAACAAAAAATTTTTCATCGTTTGCGAATCAATCCATTGTGGCAAGGACTTCTTTCGAAGGCCTATGTCGAAAGTCGTCCTCCCGCATGTATTCCGAGGTGTCTAATCGTCGACAAAGGAGGCTGATGACGTTGTATGTCGACCGAGCAGACGCCGGTAGCCCCTGTTGGCTTAAACCTTGAGACCGTTAGCAACTAGAACAGGTGTCTTCAGTATACAGAGCTATATCGGTATTGGTAAGCAGCGTAGTCTAGTGTATTATACCCTGATATAAGCGTAATTACAGTTGCTTGTCAGTCTTTTCTGGTCGATATAACATAAATTTATTCATAGAAGCAAACATTTATTTACTGTGTATCTGTGGACAACGACAGGTTGTGGTTAGTCATTATTACTAAGATTGGGACGATGCGTCACCTATCACGCCCTCTATTGCTGTAGTTAATCTGGTCGAAAGCATCAAGCTAGCCGATTTAGTCTGTCTGAAGCAGTAGCGGCGTCCAGCGACGCTCTTGTAGCTGTTTTTCTGTTGGACATTGCGTTTATCTGCACCATGGCTAGCAGAAATGTACACTTTGGTTGGGCTGGTGCATCTTTGTATGAAGTTTTGATGGCTACCATATAGCTTCACACAATTCCCTTATTCCTATTGTTCCCCTCTTACTTTTCGCTTTGCAAATTTTCAGCAAACGAATAATGCGAGTAGCGCAGCGTTGATGTCGCAAGATGTCGTACCCACAGTCGTCGTCACGCCATCGAAGGACGTTGATGAAAATAAGGAAAGAGGTAACTGGGGCTCGCAGTTCGAGTTTTTACTATCGTGTCTTAGCTATGCTGTCGGTCTTGGCAATATTTGGCGGTTTCCCTATCTTTGTTACCGCAACGGTGGAGGTAAGTGAGAAATTTGAAGAGAACCTTTTTTTTTATTCTTAAAAATAGCCTAAATTTGATTTGATTAGAAAAAAAAAGTGGAAGCTTTGTATAAAGATTCTCCTGAACAAATAAAGCAGCTAGTGTAAATACAGTACCTAGAATAAAGTTAAGCATACGGCCTTACGCCGGCACCCACTATAATAGGCTCATAATGATTAGGTCTCTTTTCAAGAAAGCTCGTATTATGTTGAATTTCTAAATCATCTCAGATAGCACAAGCACTTTCGATTTCAGGACTTCATTAACGTACCTACATAATGGCAACAGTTTGTCAGTTTGCCTCGGTTTTGATATTCGAGTTCGCTTTAAAAGGGCTTTGCTCCTACTTCATGATCTGGAGAAAATGCTGCACCTTCAGCTAAAAAACTACCTTATAATACGTGATATAGGAAAAAATGGCACAGAAACACTCGCCCTCTTTGATTTTTTTCGTACTCTGAATAAGTTGAAATCAATGGCATGTTTAAATATGCTACAGTGATCGTACAGAAGATGTCGATTTCGTGATATGTTTGTTCAAAAAAACCCCTGAACGTCTTAATCGGTTACTATTGCTTTGTTGCGTTTCGAAAAGCAGTAGCTAAATAATTGTTGTTGACTACCGAAGTACGATATGTCTGTCGTTCGTCTTTAGTGTTGGCAGGCTGCCGCACTGTGACTGTTGTCAATAATAAGCGACGAGTTAGCGTCAATGAAAACAAAGGACGAAGGTTGAATGAATTGCCCACAGCAGAACGTAAACACGTAGTTAGACGCCTATTGACGAAAAGACACTTGTCCCGCTCCTTGAAGTACGATCCAAGATCATCTGTCAGCTTGACACTGCGGGCAACATTTCCTTATGCAACTCTTTTTACCTCGGTGAAGTTCTATGTATTTAGCGACCTTCGAAGCTGAGACCATGGCGGCTAATGCAGCAGTACCGTAAGAAACTTCCATCATGGCAATCACAATCTCAAACTTAAACGTCTATTATTAGAATGCATTATTTTACTACGTTAAAAGTGGGCTCGTAATGCTTTGAGACGACATAACGTTCAACATCATTTACTATATTTGCAGGCGCGTTTCTGATTCCGTATTTTACGATGTTATCGTTTGTCGGAATCCCGCTATTCTTCATGGAGCTTTCATTCGGTCAATACGCAAGCGAGGGACCGATAACAATTTGGAAAGTCTCGCCACTGTTCCAAGGTATCATTGTTTGCTTGAAAACGACAAAAGAATACAGAAAGATCATACACATGTCATCCAAATGGCAAAATCAAACAGAAGCTAAATGAAAGATGATCGCTTGGAAAGCTAGCTATAAGGCCAGGGCCTGGCCAGATAATTTGTATCTGCGCGAAAAGCATTATGCGAAATGTACTAATTACGTTCCGTGTCGGTAACGATACGTACCCATATTGATGTTATCTGTGACGTATAACTATAATCATTGCTTTTTGGATTCGTTCCTTTCCAGGAATCGGCTACGCGATGTTCCTAATGTCGTCCCTCGTGGGCGTTTACTATAACATGATTTTAGCATGGGCCTTTTTCTACTTATGGAGCTCGATTACTTCAATGTTTAGCGACCTTCCATGGAAAGGCTGTGAAAACGAGTGGAATACTCACATGTGTCAGAAGTAGGTTTTTATTGATAATTTTTAACGATATAGAACAGCAACTAGTAACTTCGTTTGGAGTATCAACATGGTCGCATTCTCACCTGGAAGGCCTTTGCGCCTTATACGTATGGGCTCAGTTTTGCCGTAGAGAGCAGTGTAGCAAAATATATTTGTAAAGAGAGGAGGTTTAGATCACTTAGCTTCATTCAATTTCCTGATTTGACATTGTCTTGTGTTTATTTTGCCCAAAACAACTGGTGCAGGTTTGCAAGGACCAATTGTACAGCACATAAAGGAGTTCTGGACGTGAACGGTACCTGTTTCTTCCCACACGAGATCGACAATAAGACGTACGCTGAATATAAAGCACTCAAAGTGTGGAGTAAAACAGCCAGTGACGAATACTTCCAGTAAGTAGAAACTTTTACGTGCACTAATAACAAATTACGGATATGGTAATATTGATCTCTGCTGGAAAAAGAAGTTTGGGACAGAAAGAAGAAGCTGTTCAACCTAAATGAATTCTGTTATGCTTGTTCATTCTCGCAGCAATTACGTTCTGGACCTGACCGAGGGACTGCACGATTTAGGCGGTATTCGCTATGAGTTGGTTGTATGCCTTTTCCTTTGTTGGGCAATCGTCTTCTTCTGTTTGTCACGTGGCGTGAAAACCATGGGCAAGGTAGTGTACTTCACTGCACTCTTCCCATACGTCGTACTCATAATCCTTCTAATTCGGGGACTATCTCTGCCCGGCGCCGACAAGGGCATCATGTTCTACCTAACCCCCGAATGGCACCGGCTTCTCGATGCCCGAGTTTGGGGTGATGCCGCGATGCAGATCTTCTTCTCACTCTCGCCGTGTTGGGGGGGCCTCATCACACTTGCCAGCTATAACAAGTTTCACAACAATTGTCTCAAGTTAGTAGACACTTTCTGGCGCTCATTATTGGTATTGATTTCAACTGCATATCTGGGTCAGTATAAGTTGTTCACTCAACTGAACGAACCCAAGAAAGAGGAAAAAAGTGGCTGGCGCAAAGCTTTCCCATGTAGCTGACCGATCAAAACTTTGGCGCGGATTCATACGATAATAAACTCGGTGTTCCGATGTTACAGGGACACATTCTTCATCTGTATTGGAAACTGTGGAACTTCGTTCTTTGCGGGCTTCGTCATCTTTTCAATCGTCGGCTTCATGGCGCACAACCTTGGTATCGAGGTTAGTGAAGTGGCATCGCAAGGCGCAGGTCTCGCATTCGTCGTCTATCCGGAAGCTGTGGCGCGTCTTCCATTGGCTCCGTTTTGGTCAACCCTATTCTTTTTCATGTTGATGACCCTTGGCATGGGCACACAGTTTACTATTGTCGAAACTGTGGTTACTACAATTGTTGACACATGGCCAGAGCGTCTACGCCATCGAAAACCTCTCGTGCTGTTATGTATCTGCAGTGCGATGTTCGCTTTAGGCAGTGTGATTTGCACGCGAGGTGGTATGTACGTGCTTCAACTGATGGACGACTACGTCGCCAGTTATTCGGCTCTAACGATCGGTCTTACCGAGGTGATTGTCATAGGTTGGGTATACGAGGCCGATCGTTTCCTCGATGACATTAAGGTCATGCTCAAAAAATATCCATTCCCACGTGTTTACTGGAAACTGATCTGGAAATTTGTCGTGCCATCCCTTATTTCGGTGAGTCTGGTGAATGTTATTCGAACAAATTATCATTATCTGATATAACAAGCGCAACTCGTTTATTTTTGTGGATAATAACCCGTGCGTATCTTTCATGCTTGCCCTGAAGTTGATCTGCCAAATATTATGTAACGCTTGCTAATCGTTGCCCAATTACCTTTTCTTTTTGTTCTTGAATGTAGATGATCTTGGGCTTCTCGTTATATCAGATGGAACCCACTAGATACGGTGGATATGTCTACCCTGGATGGGCAACTGCTCTTGGCTGGACCCTTTCTTTAGTGTCGGTTTCAGCCATACCCGGCGTTGCAATCTATAAACTCAGCCGATCTCGAGGAGATTATGCAACCGTAAGTTAAGTTAGTAAGTGACACGTACGCGTTGACCTCTTTTTACTGGTATGCGCGGCGGGATATTCGATGATAGGATCTGCTACGTGAGCATTTTTGACGCTATAATTTGTCATACATGGTATAATCGTAATAGCTTTGCGTAAGCTTAGATAACCAATCCTTAAACTTTGCTTATTTCTTATTCGTAGAGACTGAAGGTTCTTATGGAACCTACTGCCGACTGGGGACCAAAACTTCAGGTTCACCGCATAGAGGCTCACAGTCCCAAGCACACTGACTCTCAGGTACGTATTGGGCCCAGTTTTGCAAACAGCAAAGTTACGTCAAAGCTGAAGTGCGTAAGTTTTCGTGTAGATGAACGCTCGGTAACGCACGCTTACATCGAAGCAGCTTACCGTTATGAAACGCACGTCCGAGAAAAGAAGATATCTGGTATAAGCGTTAAGCTCATTTAGTGAATCCCTAAGAGAACACATAAAAGTAGATATATTACGGAGGTAATTTGTCCCTCCTCTTAACGTCTGTACAGGTGCCGTTGGCTTTACCGAACTACAACCCCGATGGCGATCTCGACCTTGAACCCGACTTTCCGGTGTACTACAACAGCGCTAAGGCCAGTGGTCAGAATGCAGGTTCCGATGATGCAGGCGATAGCGGCAGTGAGCACGGCATCTCGTTGAACATCCCGCGCTCCCGTCAGACTGGCTTGTAAATGAGTTCATGAACTACGCAGATGGGTGGACACAGAACACTCTGCGTTGCAGGACTCGTATCATGGCGCGACTTAGCCTTGCCTAACGTGTTGCGATACGAAGCCTGCAGCAGTTGTTCTATCGATTGTCTCTTCGTCTTCGGAGAGTCTTTTAGACAACGTGAGTACGCAGTTGCTGAAGGGGGCGCAAGCAACCGTTCACTGACATGATGATGGTGGTGACGATAACGGAGGTGGGCTCCAATTGAGTCTTCCTGTTTGTGACTAGCACCACAACCCCTCATGCATCGTTGCTGTTGTCATCATGGCCCGCTACTCAAAGCGAAAATCTAGTAACAGGGAGGAACAGAGCAAAGAAGGCTCAGCTGGCGGAAAATGTTGGGATGCCCGAACGGGACAAGTCAATCTGGCTATATAGCCTCCGGTTAGACCTCTGTACAGTATATATATATATATATATACACATATGTGTATATATATATATATGTACATATAGGGAAAGAGGTCACCCGAAAACCGCCGCCGCCGCAGCAGTCGGAGCCCAAAAAGCCCCTAAACCCAAACGACCCCGCGGCCAGGAACATCTAGCTGATTGATACTACTCATTGGAACTTCAATAGCAGGCCGCAGCAATAAACGCAGCAACGGTAGCCTAGGCTAAGTGCTGGCATTTGCATGAGACAAGTTGAGGCAGTAAAAGCAAGACCTCAAAGAACTAAAAAGCAATTGTTGGGATCGGAATTAGCAATAGCTAATTCGTAACTTGTCGATGGGCAACTAAAATGCGCGCGGATCGCTAGCGGAGAAGAAGCGCGTCATCTCACCTATCCCATCGTAATCTAGCAGAGCTCACAATCATCGCAGCGTTCTGTTGTTATTATCAAAACAATTACAATCAACTACTACCTAACTAGGATTATATGCATTTGTCATCCATACATCACAGCACCATGCTATTCAACTTGTGGACAAAAAATAAATAAAGCTAATCAATCAGCACAACAGCAATCCTATCCCAATAAGGCAAAAATTAAAAACATAATATAAGCAACATCGATCACCCTAACATCAACTAGATATCATCTGCTAACGACAACAGGACATCGTTTACGGCCGAATTCGCACACGTTACACGGAATTAGGCCAACAATAACGAACCTATA